GTGTTATTCAAACACATATATGATTCACAAATCTGAAGGAAAAGGATTTTCCTATTATAAAAAACTCTTTGCTATTAAGAAAAGCAAATAAAATGTGTAAACAGCATGAACAGCACCATTTTCCTTAATAAGATCTACTTAAAATGGTGTCTGAAAACACTGAATCAGGTACCTAGTAGAACCTAACAGGTATTCAGTAAATATTTTCAGTAAATTTATTCTAACGTCTGTAACAAGAGAAAATATTTATCACTTTGAAAAACTGAGACATCATTCAATAAACATGAATACAATGCGTATATGCCAGGCACTGAGCAAAGATGAAAAAGGTCCCTCACGCTCTTGGCAGAGATGAACGACAGCAACAGACAACACTGAGGGCCCTACCCATAATACAGTACATGTCACAGAAGTCTATGGATAAGCATAGGTCCACTAGGAGGAGGCCTCTCACTCCAGCATTTTTCCAGCGGAAAAGGAACTTGGTAACTTTCAAGTATCTCTGTACAAGCAAGTTTTTAGGTGTCTATATCAGCATTAGCAAAATGGGAATGGAGGATTTATATTTGCACTGAAACACATCCATGTCTTAAATTAGAAGCCAAAATATTGTTGGTACAAATATCCCCGACCACACAGTGAAAGGTTAACCAAAAGTCCATAAATTAATTGATAAAGATGAAGCTAATAGTAATGCTAATGAACAAAACAAACAAGAGGAAGCACAATGGAAAACCGAGATCAATTTGAGACAACATTGATGATGCATCCCAAATAAGCACCCTTCCTTAACACTGCAGGAATCCCCATTCTGCACATGACATGTAAGAAGCTTTGCATTGCTGCCAGGTTTCCCAGGACAGACTTCCTGGGAGAAAAAAGTATTATAGCCAACAGTAAACTTTAATGTTGTGCTGTTTTTGGTTTATAAATACCAAGTTTTAGTAATCCATAATAATTCACTTGGCAAGTTATTAATAAGTAGCCCTTAGGCATATGTAAATATGAACAACTATGAAGCAGTTAACAACTGAAAAGAGGAGCTGCACTTCCCACAAGGAGGTGCGGGGTAGCAGCCACACTGAGAATCTCTGCATTAAGGGAGCACAGGAGAGTAAACTTAATTCTTCAGGAGGTAGAAGGGGTAAGAAAAAACTAACACTGAAACATTAAACTATGAGGTAATAATAAACTTGCTGAGTAAGGTGTTTCAAAGCTTCTGTTTGATGTGTATAGGACCCATGAAATTATGCCTGCAAACTATAATTTCAAGCAGTAAGAAAGCTACACGCAGGGTTTATTCCTTAACAAACTTAAGGAGTGCATCAATTCTTTGCTATCTCAAATGCATTCTTAGATTTCAAAAGCTCAGAAAGGGAGACAAGGGGAATATTCTCTAAGAGCCTACCACTATTTATAAGATAACTTTACCTCATTTAGCCTTTTATAAATCACAGTTATCTACAGTTAAATATGCTTCTACGTATTTAACCAGCAAGCATTCCTTTTTGGAATGGACACTGAGAGTAAAATATATCAAATATGTACTTTTTTCCTAATCATAAAGGTTGGCAAGAAAACTATTTCAAAAGCTGACTTATTGAGTAAATAAACCAGAGAAAACATTCATTCTTCTGTACTCCTAAAAGTTGTAAACGTCTCCTCCTAGGGGTTGTGGCCCAAGTTTTGGCATTCACTACTTCCTGACTATTCTGTTTTTCAATTTTCTACTTTGACTATCAGGAAGAAACTATCTAAATTCAATGGTAAAGGCTTTGAAAATGCCAAATATTTGAAGAGAAGCTAAATTGATAGTTTACTACCCCCAAATAACTCTTTTGAAATCAACTACTGGTTCCACTGTGACGCCCAACTGTGGTGCCTAAAGACTTTCTACTTACTTTTGAAACCCTGTGAGGATCACATCCTACTTTACAAGGATCCCACCACAAAACAGACAATTTCCAGTTAAAAATAGTGTAATAGTGATTACCATCCTCAAGAATTCCTAATAATTTCTCAAACTATACATATTAGAGCATCAAAGAGAGCTGTATTTTAAAGGATGCAAAGTAACTTCTCACTTCATTATAACAAATTACTTGATTATTAAGGAAAGTATAGGCAATTCTTGATAGATTGAATTAAACTCAGGAGTTGAAATAGACTTGTAAATGCACTTCAGGAGTACACAACGATTTTTTTGTTACTCTCTTGCCAAAACCTACTTTAGAACAGTTGTTTTCCCCTATTCACTATAGAATAACATAATATTACACAAAATGCTAAGTTTTTATTTCCCCTTGATTCTTGGCCAATTTACTAAGTGAAAAGTTATTTTGCTGACAAAGCAGAAAGAGTCCACATAGTGTTATGCTGGAACACTTCCTATAATCAATAACTTAAAAGTAATCATGGAGTACAGAAGTAATGAAGGGTTTGGGAAAACAGCAAAAAGCAGGACACCGAAAGACATTAAGCAGTAGGTCAGGACAACATGTATCCTGGGAAATCCGAAAGCTCACACAACCACCACAGCAATCTTTTATTAAAAGACCCATGGAATATAAGATTAGAAAAAAGAAAGTCATCTGTTAAAAAACAAACAAACAAAACTTCAAAAATCACAAATTACCCAATATTTGGCAAACCAGCTCTAACAAATGCCACTAACCAAACATTAGGAAAATGTCATACATGGACACAAGTATCTTATAACCTCATAGATGGAGCTACAAAGCAAGATGTCATCCCAGGAAATGCAAACTCTACACATGGTGAAGGATAAAGAGAACCATCGTGGAAGAGAAACTGAAAAACAACTGCTAATGTGCCTCAGAATCTCTAGTTTGGGGTTACCACAGGAAGGCACAACATTCACGGAGACAAAGAGGGGGTAAATCACAGCTGAGGGAGGAAGCATGATATTCACCACCTGGAGACACCTAAAGGCCATGAATATATATACATAAGATATATATCCATATATTTATATATATTTCCATATACGATATTCCACATATATATGATATATATCCATATATATATATATATATGGAAAAGGGGAAGGTGGTTTACAATATTGAGATCAAATTACATGGAGGAAAATTTCAGCTGTCAGAGAAAAAATTCCTGAAGGAAAAGATTATATTATAGAGCTACCTCCTGCCAGCACCATCAGAAGTTCAAAGTAAATTAAAACTCTGGGAGCAAAAACTGGAAATCCCTCCAGCCCCATCTAAGCAGGGGGTGAAACCACGGGTTTGGATTATAATATAACCTAAAAAGCTGTGAACCTTGAAGCTTTCAGTACAACATGGCTCCCAGCACGCCATAGGTGATCAAGGACACCTGTGTTAACGCTAACCCCTCACATCTACATACTGCTCTACAGTACAGAAAGTGCCTTCACTTTCATTCCTCAAAAGCAACCCCTTTGGTGGTACAATCACAGTCCTTTTACTTTCACACAGCTTGTAGCTTATAAAATACTTTCGCACACTGTTATTTTACAGAAGAGACCCAAGGAGATGAAGTCACTCGTCTAAGGACTAGCAGACGGTAGACGAGGGGTCTACACAACTGTGGGACTCTTCCTTAGTTAATTACAGACACTTCCAACCCTTAAAAGTTCAGAGTACAACACTCCAGGGAGAGCAGCCTCATCCAGACAGCTAAGGAGGATGGAACTGCAGAGTCTCAGTGGACCATCTCTGCCTCGGTCTCCCTCCCCAAAGACAAGGAAACTGAGGCAGCAGGTAGGGACAGAAGCCTGATCCACCGTCAGCAAGGAGCGTTGGTGGGATGGACTTCCCTCACTCCACCTGCACTAAGCCCAGAAAGAGCTGAATCCTGTGTCTGAGACACAAGTCGGTCTCTAGAGAGGGAAAACCCTCGCCATCCCCGCCTCCCTCTCGCTTTTCCCCACAGGGGCTTTCCTATGGATGGGGGTCTCTTCTTGCCAGATCCCCCCAGCCATCCCCTCTCCCCAAGGCCCTTACCCATTTTTCCCATCTGGCCTCCGGAGTAGGAGAATCCGCTAGCTCTGGCTCCTAACTCCGAGCCACTGTCTCTGAGACGTTTCTCGACCCCAAGGCATTTCTCTGTCTCCCCGGGGAAGATCTGCCTCCGACCCGTGCCACCGAAACCTCAAACACCACAAAAGGAAACCCTCCCAAAGCATCCTCCCTTCTCCCCCTTCCGCCCTGGGCATCCCAGAGGAGCATCCCTAAACATCACGAGCCTTCCAGGAGCTACCTGCCTCTCACCTGGGCCCTTGTAGCCGCGGCCTCCTCAGAAGGGCGACCCCCAAGAACCTCCTCTGGTCAGGAACCCCCTAAAAGGGGAACACCCTCTTCCAGGAACCTCTTCAGGTGCCTTCAGCGCGGCCTCGGTAGAGAATCTCTGGGCTGTTTCCTGGGCTCTGCCCACCGCCACCTCCTCCCGGGTCCCTTCCCGGAGCCTCCCCCGGCCTCAGGCCGGTCTCCCCGCCGCAGACTCGGCCGGCTGTTCCCCTCCCTCACGGCCGTCCCCAGCCCTCAGACGCCCCGCGGCTCCGCGTCCCCAGGCGCTTCCGGAGCAGCGCAGCTGGGCTGCGGCACTGACTTTCTCCAGCTCCCAGGCCCACTCGAGGAAGGGGGCGGCGACGGCCGCGGCTACGCGACTCCTTTGTGACAGGTCCGAGAGAGCGGTAAAGATGGACGCGAGGGCACGGCGCTGCCATTACGCGCTAGGCCCACCCCCGCTTCGTACCGCCCCGGCCCTCCCTCAGTCCCCTAGGAAACGCCCCTTCCTCGGTGGCAATCCCTCTCCCTGACAGCCAATCACCTTTCAGGAACTGTATCACGTGATACCACGACCTAGCCCGCCCCCCAGGCAGGAGCTGGCCAATCCCTTTGCTGAGGTGTGAATGGCCCAATCAGATGTCTCCGGCTAGGTTTCGGGCACCGGATTTCCATCTGTCTCCTGGGGAGGAAGAGAGGTGTGGATTGGGTTACGTCGCCGGAAGTGGGGCGGGACTTTGTTGTGGCGGTGAGGAACAGGAAGCCCTGAAGGGTCAAAAGGAATACAAAAGCAAAGGCTATTTTCTTTCCTATTTTTTTTTTCATTCTTTCTATTTTTTTTTTTTTCTCCTAAACAGAGAGCTACCTTGGCTGTGGCGGTTTGGGGTGAGCGCCGCCGAGGTGAGGGGGTCTCGCCTCCCGCGCGCTGGTAGGTGAGTGCGGCCTGAGCCCTGGCCAGGCGGCGAAACCTGGGGTCCAGCTTCTGTGCTCAGGAGATGGGGGCTGTGCGCGATGTGAGGGTTAGGGCCGGGCCTGGTCTCAGTCTGCGCGCTCGCCCAGGGTTCTGAGTCCTCGCGGCCAAGGGCTTGCGGGGCCCAGTCGGAGGGGAGCCGACGGAGCCGGTGGGAAGGCGTCCAGATCGTGTGCGGGAGGATCCGGACCCTCTCCAGCGGTTCTGGCACTGCAGGGCCTCTTACCAGCTCCCCTCCTCCTTCCTTGCTAAGTGGGGCCACGCAGGCTCCAAGTGAGGAGCGGGCTCTGTTCCAGAGGTCTTGGACCGGCTCCAGGCTACTCAAGAGATGTGGGGGTGCTTGGTTGGAAATGGTTGAATCGTAGAATGTAAGTGTAGGATGGGAAACTGATTTATTATGTACCATGTACCAGTTGCTACGCTCAGTTCATTTTCTTTTAATGGGAAACAAACCAGCGTGCTCGTTTTGCAGAAAACTTAGAAAACTGAGACGAAGAGTTGAAGCATCTTGTTTGAGAGTTGGTGGCCCATGTGAATGTCAATCCGCACGGGGGGAAAAGGAGGAGACCTATTCCTTCTTAGTAGTGGTTCTTAAGCAAGTAGAAAACAAATCTTTTGCGGGCCTTTTCGAATGCAGATTATTGGACCCCACCCCCAAATAGGCTGAGTAGGGCTGGAGTGGGACCCAGGAATCCAAGTGCGGGCCTGGTGGTCAGAATTCCCAATGACCTCTGGTGAACCAGCTGTGAGGTGAGATTTGTTGATTCTCCAGCTGTTTGGTTTATTGGGGTCCCCTCTGTCAACAGGGACCCCATACAAAGGTTTGGAGAGCCCTGCTTCTGAAATCCTTGAAAGGAGTCAGTCTGTAGACTGCTTTTTGGTAGGAAAAATTGAGCTAAGATAAAGGCAGCTCTTAGGGTCCTTCAAGTAGAGCTTGAGATGAGCTGTTAACGCTTTGTAAGGATCCGAAAGCGGAGGCTGCCCAATTGTCTTTCTCTACTGAAGTCTTGGTGCCTTTATCTTGTGGGGAAATTCTTCGTGGTTGTAAGAAAGGAAGAATTATGTCAAGACGATTACGTGGTTAGCAGTTTTCCCTGTCACCTTCCAAGAATCTTGATGTTTTGTTAGAGTCAAGCCGCTGCTTCAGAAATTGAAAACCATATATCTGGTAAATGAAGTAATTTAAGTGCATGGTTCAGCCATAGGCTCAAGCATATTGTAATTATGCTTTTGTCACAGTTAAATTAAGCAATTTCAGTGTACTCACTATTGACC